ATGTTTTTTTTATTATTTCAAGATTTAAATGCACAAATAGGAGTGCCAGAAAGTGAAATTTTAAAAATAAATAAATAAATAAATAAAATAAAAAAGGAGTTATCTGTGTACTCAGTACACAAAGAAAAAGCATAATTTTTTTAAAATTTTCCTTCAAACTAAATTTAGCAAAAAATCAAAATCACGTGGCATCATCCGTAAATACTTTCCGAATTGTACCACATCTTCAATACGCAACTCTTGGAGCAGGGTATTACGAAGGGACTATGAATTTCTCGTCGTTTGACCCAATTTCCGGTCCAAACGTATTTTCCCCCCTTCTGTAGCAGTAGCTAAGTTCAAAATCTTAGCTGTATCTACAGTAGCAATTTAAAATAGTCATCCATTATTTTGACTATTTGACAACACCGTAAACTTTGCTTACAAATCGTAGACAGTGTGATGCTGTAGAGGGCGTGAACACTTCCTTTCATAGTGATTGGCTGAGTGAATTCCTGTACTAACGAGAAAATCGTTCCATGTGGACAGGCGAGCTATCTCAGATATTGTCGGCCAGCTAAGTCGGCCGAGAAAATCGCTACGTGTAGACAGGACTATACAGTTCATAATATGAAGGAATTTTCAGTTAGTGGTAAAAAATAACCAAATATTTCCATCTCACTTTATGCATTATACATTAACAAAACTGGAAGAAATTTATATCTCTATATATGTGTGTGTGTGATATTTTAATGCAGTCATAGTGGCGGAGGACGAAGGCATTATAACACAGCTAGCAAAACTGAGCTTCAAGTAGCACAATCTTTTTTTTTTTCATGTCTATCAAATAATTTCTTAGTAGACAATATACTTTTTTGATCATAGTTAAATACAATAATTTTTATGTACACTGCTCAAAAAAAAAAAATGGGACAGTCCTATATCTCCCGATCTACTGGGCCGATTGACAAAATTCAAATTGCGTTTTTCATGTCTCGAAAGCGCGACTTAAGATATATATTAGATTTATATATAGGGGACTATTCTAACATACGTTTTGACACACAATCGGACTTTTTCTGAAATAACATACCAATTTTTTTTACAATTTCGATTCTACGACTCAAATTACACCTAAATATGAAATTTGTAAAATTGGGGCGAAATTTACGGAGAAATTCACAATTTATGTTGGTACTCAGTTTGCACCAAGGATACTTCACTTGCGAATTTTAATGGCAACCTAGTTTCCTTTCCCGTGAGAGGAAAAAACAAAGTCACCATCGTCGTTTTTTTCCAAATAATATTCTTTATATTATATTTTTAATTATAACTTATTAGTTTAAGTAATTTTTTCGTTTTCGAATTTTCATTTTAAAGTTGCACTTTTTTTTTTTTTTTTTCGAATAACAGTTTAAAGATTTCTATTTACCTATTGGAACTGTGTAAATAAAGGTGGCAGCATTTATTTTTTTTTTTTTTCAAATAGTTTTCTTTATATATATTTTTCGTCATAGTTATATTTTAGGTAATTTTAAATTTTTATACTTTTATTTTAATTGTTTGTGTTGCATTGTCTCTACAGATAATTTTTTTAAAATTTCTATTTATTCCTTCGAACTGAGCATTTTAAATATATTTATTAATATCAATTTTCAGAATTTGATTTTATTTATTTGAATTGCGTTTCTGGAGAAGAATACTTTGTAACCCAGACTACGATGATTTTGAAAACTACATACTGTTATTAAAGAGAAATACATTAAAGCACAGTTTTACACGCCTTTCAATGTTCCGTTCAAAAAGATATATAATAAGAGAGATGTATAATAACTGACATTTAACTTAGAGAGGACTGCACACGACTGCACACTGCTTTAAACAGTTTATCATTGTGCCCATGGCCACCATCCTACATTTGGTTTCTTAAAAGTTATTCCTATTTAGTCAAATATTTTTTTTTGAAATCGCAAGAATCAATATCATAACCATTGAAAAGTTTTAAATTAAAAAAAAATACAAATACTAAATTTTACGAAAAAATTTATTTTTCTTCTCTTTTTCTTTAAGCATTCTGAAAGTATATTAAAAAGTATCCAACTTTTCGAAACATTTTGGTATTTCTGACAATCATTTTAAATAAAGTTATCGCCTTCCATTTCATAAAGGCCCACAAATGGCCGAGCGGTAAAGATGCTGATCACTGGTAGGTTCGGTCCGAGGTTTGAATCCCGCGAACAGGCTGGTTGCATGGGTGTTTTCGTGGTTTTCCCGATGTGTAACGTGTATACGAGCCAGTTTCCCTTAGAAAGTCCTCCACGAAGGCATCCCTCCCTTTAGGCAGATAGCCCTCGTGTGCTTTGCCATAATTAAATAATCCAATCCAATCCTTAATTAAATATAATTGATTTGTAACTTCTACTAGAACTGGCGTTAAGAATTGAAGTGCAAATAAATAATATCGTGTGCAATCTTGATTAATATAAATTAAAAATATTTGCACAGAAAAATATTTGCATTCAGACAGTTTTTTGAAATATTTGCAATTACTTTATAAGAGGATTTATTAATAACCCTAATAATTAGTTATTATATTACTGATGACTATGAAGGATCGGTTCTTGACAATTACGTTCTAAATTAGAATTTTAAGAATTATTAGAATTTTAAAAATTAGAATAATGAAAATACGCTACGCACAAAAATACATTTTAGGATAAAAATGAGTTGATTGTTTTATGTTTTAAATTTCTTGAATTATTTAATAAAAAATTTTATCCTCGTTGTATTGAATTCAGAATGTTGGGTGTCGTTTATATATTATTCTTACTTGTCTGCGGAATCTGCTGACTTATCCGCGATTAAGTAGCTACAGATAGATCATTTCATAACCATTGAACTTCCATTATTCAGTCTCTAGAGGGTTATATTTTATATCATAATTTGACTTTTATAAAAATGATTATTCTAAATCTTATTTCTATAAAAATATACTGTGCTTTAAAATATGGATGATAGTACCAGCCGCTCTTTCAGCCGTCAAAAAGCATCAGTTTGTTTAGAAATAAATGTGCAATTAATGTCATAAAATTCAAATAAACATCAACACAAATTCTCAGTTTTAGACAATTCGATTTAAACGAAGTAAAGTAGTAGCAGACGATAAAACGAAGGTAAAATTTACTCTTATTAAAAAAAAAAAAAAAAAAAAAAGAATTTAAAAAAAATATTAAAAAATTTTAAAAAAAATGCTTTTCATATAGTATTAATAATATTTATTATGCATCATGAAAATAATGTCATAATTAATCTCCGAAAATTTTACTTGAAATTTAAGGTTAAAAATAGCTGTGGCAATACAGCCGTGTACAAAAAATCCATAGACAAATTTGGCGTTATTATTGCTCAAAAAAAATACCAAATTTCAAAAAAGAAATTTGTGTATATGTTATAGAAAATTTTGAATAAAAAAAGTCTAATTTTTTGCAGATATGCTTAAAAATATATAAATTTGGGGGGGGGGGGGGGGGGGGGGGGGGGGGGGGGGGGTGGGGGGGGGGGGGGGGGGGAATGATGGTAAAAATTTTATAGGTTATATTCAAAAATTTTTTCGAAAAATTTATAAAATTATTTAAAAATAGAAAATTTAAAAAATAAAACACAAAAAATGGGTAAATTTTTTGGGAATGAACCTAAATTTCGAAATGTGAGAGAAAAAATCAAAAAAGTTTAATAAAAAAGAGATATAAATAAATATTTGCCAATTCAATTAACATTGAGGAGCTAAAATTTTGAGAGCTAATATTTCAAAACTACTCGTACGATAATTAACAAACTTGGTATTCTGGCATAATTTGAGTCGTAGAATCGAAATATGTAAAAAATTGGTATGTTATTTCAGAAAAAGTCCGATTTTGTGTCAAAATACCTATGTTAGAATAGTGCTATATATAAATCTAATATATATCCTAAGTCGCGCTTTTGAGACATTAAGAACGCAATTTGAATTTCGTGAATCCCCCCCAGTAGAATGGGAGATATAGCACTGTCCCATTTTTTTTTTTTTTTTTTTTTTTTTTGAGCAGTGTACATGAGTTTTAAAAGTACGATGTAAGCATCAGGAAAACATAGAAGCACAGAGATTTTTGCATGGCAGAAGTTAGGAAAAGGAATGATGCAATTACTCGCAAATCAGTATTTATACTACATAGGTGCATATGTACAGCTAAGCTGTGATTGGTTAATTTTAGGTTTTATTTCCCTTTTCAAGCAGCGTTATGTAACATGGAAAGATCTCAAATATGGGAGACCATAAAATCTAGAGTAGTCAATTTTGAGGTTGTCAATTATTTCCTAGTGCAGCAATTTTTTTTTTTATAAACATCATTTAATTTTGAATGACGAATTTCTTAATACATATCTTCATAACTAACGGAAGACAAGGGGTGCTAAACATGCCTCATAATTTAAGATACGCTATTACATCTAATTAGCTAGCTGAGGCTAAGCGACAGGCTGTCATCAGGAGGGTGAAGGAGAGAAAGAGAAAGAATACATAGTTAATAGTTATTTATACTAGGTAGGTGCACGTGTACCAGCTCAGCTGAGATTGGTTAATTTTCTATTTTAGTTTCTTTTGTCAAGCAGCATTATGTAACATTGAAAGATCTCAAATTTGGGAAAAAAGATGAACTTAGGGTGTGAATATAAAATTTATAACAATCAATTTTGAGGTCGCCAATAATTTAACATAGCCATTGTATTTTATTATATCTATATATATATATATATAGAGAGAGAGAGAGAGAGAGACAGAATTTATTAATCCTTCATTTGGTGTAGTTATTTACTAGACTTTTTCTATGCTGAAAGTAATGGAGGAAAATGTGCTAAAAAGAACCATGCCAGCTCAAGGGTGAAAACAAGTGTTTTCATAATAATGTGTTTAAAAAATACAGTAAAATGGTGTATTTAAAAATAATCCTAATTCTAAGTATATAAATTACAAAAGAAATATTTACATGTTTACGTCTTAATTTGCGTTCATATTCTTCTTCTGATTTGAGGTAGTCCATAACTTCAAATTTTATCCTTTCAAAACTATAAAAATAAAATAAGTATTTAAAAATTATATTCTTTGAAACCAATTTAGCAAAGAATAAGATAAAAACAATTATAAATACAGTATTAAAAATGAACATTATATAGTTTTTCATAGGAGGTAGTGAATAGAAACCAACTAAACTGGTTTATGTTAGTAAATTAAGCTGACTATATTATCATGCAATTTAATATCGGGTTAATATTAAGTAGCAGAGATTTTTTTTAACAATGAATTAAAATTTTTTTAACAATGAATGTATACTATTGTTTATAAATTCCTGTATTTACTTGAATAATCCACATATATTTTTTTGAAAAAAATATTAATTAAAAAAATCTCAGAGCACAGATTATTGAAAGCATTCCCCCCCTCCCCAATCGGCTGTACAGTATGAAATCATATGCACATAGAAAGAAACAAATTCAAGTAAAAATTTCACCAGACTTGATTAGGAAAAAAGTCCAAGATCCAGGACTTCAGTGATTTCAAACTTTAGATCATCAGTTTAACTGCTTCCCTTACAAATTTTTTTGAAAAAATTGCAAAAAATCATCACATTTTTTCATTTTATTATTAAATACAACAAAATGAAACAAATCAAAATATGTAGGTTTTAAGTTGAATTTTTTGAAGGTGTAAAAGCATTTATTTTTAACATTAGTTTTACTATCCCGAGTTATCTCGGCAAATGAAAAAAAAGTTTTAAATATTACTCTTTGTATGATAGTTTTTGAAATAAGGGACAACACAGAAGTGATACCTGACATTCCTGTACACTGGTATCTAGGTCTTTTTTCTTATTGGCTTACCTCTGGAATCTCTTTTACGGGAGCACGGAAGTACATTGTCTCGTTGGAGATTGATTTTTTTTAAATTTCAGTAACAGGAATAACATCTGGAAAATGTCCCACCTTTTCATAATCACTATCTGACGAAAACTCATCGCTTTCACTATCTTGCCAGTCATCGCCATTATTTTATTTTTTTCCAACGCATGCATCCTTCTTTATACATTACTAATCCACAAGCCAACGTATACTATACAATAGGGAAACACGCGACTAGTGCCTCCAAAAGAACCGCACAACCAACAAAATTTGGCAAACTGCCAATCAAAGCTGAATATTTCCTTTCATTTCCTCCTGACCGAGTAAAGCCGTGATAAAAGAAATCGTACTAACAAATTCTGCATCTCGAGTTTTCTTGGGATAATAATTAACTGCAATATATACGTACCCGAGATAACTCGGGATAATCAGGCAAGCGGTTAAAATGTAAGATGATATTAAACAGAGCAACATTGAAGCTTCTGTTATTGTTTAGGCCAGATAGAAATCTCCTAACATCCACAACCCCATTCAAGGGATGAAAATGTGATATTGTACCATCAATGGCCATGATGCCACTTCCCTGGGTAAGAAGGTTTTGAATGGGACAAGCAGGAATGTCAGTTAGTCTGAGAAAAATCACATTTACCACACATACATTTTAATATTGATTAAAACAACTGCTTTCTTAAAAAAAAAGAAGCAGGTATTTTAATCAATATTCACCATTTCTAGACTCTGTTAGGGAAGGAAAGAAATGTTTCTATATTATATTACATATAGTATATGTGTATATATACCGGGTGGCCATAATTAAACTGACAGTGCTCACAGTGTTCTGTAGCGCGATCTATTTGCAAGAATGATGCCACATTTTGTAGGAAGATTAAACAAGATGGGGAACGAAGGATTCCACGAAAAAAAATTAGTTCCAAAAGTCACCGCTAGGGAAATATTTGGTGCTGTGTAATAGAAAATCGAATGTTAACAAATGCAAATTAATATGAAATAAAATTACCTTTTATTATGCACATTTTCTGATTTAGTTCAAGTGCAATATGGCAACACTTTTAAAAAAGCATAAAATCTACATAAACACCGATAAAGTCTTGTGATCTGTGTAATATCACGTACGCTGAGCAGCAGAAGAAGTTCTTTATTCAAATTTCACATTACATCCATTCGCACATTGCCAGCTGCTTGGGTTTTAAAAGGTAACGTGTTACGTTTCGAATCAATCAGATTGAAAATTTATGTGCAATGTCTCCTTCTTTAGTTGAGCATGCCTTACTGGTAAAATTCTTTTACCTCAACCAGTGCAACGCGTCAGCCATTCTTCATGCTTTTAGAACGTAAAAAAAAAAAAAAAAAATGCGTAAAGGTAACAGTCTTGTGTCAGTTAATGGGCTAAAAGCAATGGTTGCAACGTTTGAGAAAACAGGTTCTCTGAAGGTTCAGTTAGGCAGAGGACAATAACCAGTACAACAGGATACAATCAAAGCAGTTTCCACGGCGATTGTCGACAGAGGACCAGACAATATTGCTGATAGCTCTAGCACTCGTGGAGTAGGTCGGAATATGGATATGCCTTACAGTACGGTATGGAAAATCTTACGAAAAGATTAATCAACTTCTATCCGTTCTATCCGTAAAAGATCAGCCATGTACAGGAGTTACTATACCCTGACCATGCTAAGCGATTGACTTTTGCTCTCACCTTTCTTGCCAGAATGGAGGTGGATGATGCTTGGCCGTGGAAAATCTTATGGGGAGACGAGGCCCACTTTTACCTGAATGGAACTGTGAATACCCAGAACTGCCGAATTTGGGATGACAAATCACCACATGCAGTCACAGCAATTCCCTTACATCACCAAAGGTAACTGTTTGGTGTGGGTTCACAGCAGAATTTATCACAGGTTCATTCTTCTATGAGAACATTACCCTGACAGGACCGGAAACCTGTTCTGTTAACGGAGAGAAATATCGCCACATGTTGAACAGCTTTGTCACTCTGGCACTTCAGCAAAGACAATGCCTGGGGGGAAATCATTTTCATGCAAGATGGAGCCCCTCCACACGTTGCTGTCCAGGTGCAACAGATGCTACGACAGAAATTCACAACAGAAAGAGTCATTAGCCGCTACTTTCCAACTGCATGGCCACCTCGGTCACCTGATCTTACCCCATGCAACTTCTGGCTATGGGGTTACCTCAAGTCCAAGGTCTATCAAGGAGTGGTCCAGGACCTGACTACGTTGAAGGATAACATATCACGGACTGTATGGGAGATTTCCTGCAGACATGTTACTTTCTGCTGTTGTGCATACTGTGCACAGAATGCAATATGTGATCCACAACAATGGCAGCCACACAGAACCTCATTTGAATGCAAAATAAAAGGTAATTTTCGTATTGATTTGCATTTGTTAACACTCTATTTTCTATTACACAGCGCCAAATATTCCCCTAGTGGTGACTTTTGGAACTAATTTGTTTTTTCGCGGAATCCTTCGTCCCCCGTCTTGTTTAATCTTCCTACAAAATGTGGTGTTATTCTCGCAAATAGATAGCGCTACAGAACACTGTGAGCACTGTCAGTTTAATTATAGACACCCTGTATATATATTTGGCTGACAACTCAGATGTCCGGATATTAGATTATTCTGGTTATTGAAGGTCCAGAATTTGGACTTTGTACTGTAATTCAAAATATAGTAAAACTTCAGTTCACAAATTTAATTTGTTTCTGAATGCTGTTCATCGACTGGAATATTCATAAACTGAAATAGTTATCTCTGTAGCATTTAATGTAAAATTTATTTTCCATGTACATTAACTCATTCCTGGACTATACAAGATTGTATTAACTCATTCCTGGACTACACAAGATTGTATTAACTCATTTCTGGACTACACAAGATTGTTTACTTTAACCTTGCAACAGCACTTTACACATAAATTTATAACTTAAAACCAATCGGAATCAGTAAATATATATATAAAAAAATATATTAACAATATTACTTAGATAAAATAGAGCAAAAATAAGATACAAAGAAGAGCGGATGGCACACTGTACAATGACAAAAAACAGAATTTGGATGTGAAATTCTCTTCCATAAAAACATCATATAATTATCTTATTAGGTATCTTTGTTTATCTTTTCTTTGTCTCAAGTCTGCTTGAGACTCAATGGGCCTCTGTTCCACTTTAAAATTCGTCCAGTGTGATCTATTGTTGCCTCTGTTTTAAACTGTTTCTAAAGTGAGGTGTGAGGTATGGAATGGTTCTCAAAATCTTTGCCTGCAGCCCAATCTGCATAATCTCCTCTATAGTGAGTTTGTGGTCCTGTAAGTCGTTTGCTGTTTGTTTATGAAAATTAAGTGACGAAAATAATTAGAATGATATTTTCAGAACTCCCAGAATATTAATTATATGGCTTAGGTTACCTCAAAACACATTAAAAAGGCACATGTTGGAACACTTCAGTGTTCATAACTCAAGGCATAATTCATCCGAGACGTTTTCTATTGAGATAGTAAATCAAATTGTTCAAGAAGTTAACTAATAATGATTCAAGGTTACACTGTATTAGACAGAATAGGAGGTAATATATTATGGAAGAAATCAGATGAAGTTTTAATACACAAGAGTAACTGGACAAGGATAAACTGAATGAGATTTCATAAAAAATAAAATAATGATTAGTTGCTTATAGTTGTTATATTTTAATGAATAATCATGAAAAAATGTAAGAATTATTTTTCACATTTGTTTAGTAATAAATAAATTAAGTTGTTTTGATGCAGGCAGAGTGAATAGGTACAATGGCATTGAATTGCAAGCTTCAGCAGGTCACAGAAACAGCAGTTCCAGCAGCATTAAATGATTTGAGTCACAGGAAGCAGCAGTTCTCAAAAATGGAAATTTTGCATGATTCACATCTGATTGACATAATGCAAAAAATCTGATGTGTACACCACATGACTTCCTTGTACGGAATATTATATTATATGCATTTTTTCTTGCATTTCATTTAAACTCATTGGATTTAATTAAATCTACTTCGCCGACAGCGCATAAACTACAATAGAATAAATGCATTCTTTAAAATTCACTCTAGTATTTGTTTACCATAGCGACACTCTGGTGCTAGATTCACTTAACAGTATTATATTTCGTTCATATTATAACTCATAATGCACAAAATTTATATCATAAAAAAATAGAATTATCTAATCGTTGCCACATGTTCTATTCAAATACTATAATAAAGCTAGAATGATGTATAAAAGAAATTAAGCAAACAAAACAAAAAAGAAACAGTTTTTCACAGATGATTGAGTATTTCTCATTCAATTAATTCAGTTCTCACTTTGCGAGAAGGCAAAAATACATAAAAACTCAAATTACCTATATAAAAAATTATCTAGTAAATCTTAAACACTTATTTCCTCAAAAAAATTCCAGAAAGGATTAAACATGATTTAATTGGCAATAATAAATGATAGCGTTATCTTTGTTGTTGTGAAGCTAAGTTTCTCTAGATTGGGAACAAATCCACTAGTCTGCTGTTTCAAATGTAAACAATCAATGGCCGCCATAAAAAAAAAGGCTTAGCGGCACTTATACAACTTTAAAATTGTTGATAATTCTAAAAATATTGCATACAGATTTACTAAAGGCATAAAAACTACATAATTCAATCATTTTTAAAGCAAAAACTGTACAATTTACAAACATATACGAGTAAAGAAACTGAGATCACTGAGCCGGGTAACAGAGTGGATGTATATATAAATATATTTATATACATTTGGTGCGGCTGATTGCAACCAAAATACGAGGTGCACATCTACATGTTATAGCAGTCCCATATACAAAACGTTCTGATGCTACTCGTTTTTAAGTTATGCGAGATACGTACGTACATACGTTTGTACAGACGCCATGAAAAATTCCCTTCAGAATTCATTTTAAAGCAGTTTTATAATTTTTTTGAAGGAAACGAGTCTTTTATTCTGTCCTTATGTACAGATATCATGCAAAAACATCGTTAAATTGCATTCGATAGCGGTCAAAATGGATATTTTCGTTGAAATATGCTGCCTGAAACTTTTCGCGATTACAATACTTCCTTTTTACTTCGTAGAAAGAAGTAAAAATGGAAAAACTGAGCTACATCATTCTGTAGACTGATGATAGATGCTTTTAAAACAAACAAAAAATTTAGATATTATTATGGGGTGATCTTTAAGAATTTTTCAAAAGTTTCCCTCTAAGCTGAGAGACTAACATGTGGACAATCAGGGCATTCATTATACACATAACCTGGTTAATAATGCCATTACATGAGACATATGATCTTTAATTTATCTTTCACATGGCAGAGTGCTACCATTTAAAATGGGATAAGATCTTCAACTTATCATCAAATCAATAATAAGCAGATACAATAATAAAATAGAAAAGATGAAGCAGAAAACCTATTTCTTAGTAATTTATGACTTAATTATATCTTAAATGATATCTATAATTGACATAATTCACAATACATTTAATTGACATAATTTACAATATAACCAAATGATACTTTTATAAACATCTGCAGCATTATTGTAACTAATAATGAGATGCTTCTGAAGTTAACTGTTAATAACTCAATAGAAAATAGTTTATTTTTATAAAATATATAAGGTTTGTTTAAAAAAACTAGTATTTTTAACAAAATTATGGAAAAATTCTTCACTTCAAGATCACAAGGAAGAGATAACTGTTTTTGATAGTGTTTGCAAAAGCATTTTTGAAAATATAAATTAAGTCCAGTAGAAAATGTGCGTAACTTACAGCTGTTTAAGACACAATAACACGCCGAATAAATACTAATTCAGAAGTAAAACAACAAAAATCAGCGTTATACCTACAAAATTTTCACAGGACTAGTTTCGATGGTTTTACCGAACCATCATCTTCAGCCGCAAAACCGCAAATTGCATTTACCGCAAAACCGCAAACATTTGCAAATTACCGCAAAACATTTGCGGTTTTGCAGCTGAAGATGATGGTTCGGTAAAACCATCGAAACTAGTCCTGTGAAAATTTTGTAGGTATAATGCTGATTTTTGTTGTTTGACTTCTGAATTACAGCTGTTTGTTAAAAAATTATGAAAACTTATTATGGCAAAAATATGCTCTGAAAAATTATTTGTTACTTGCACCAATAATACAAACTAATGCCCTTTGCAAATATGCTATGCAATGAAACATTTTAAAAGCAACAATTCTTAAAGATTTAAGTACAAACAATTAATAAAATTAACAATATAATGAATTGAAACTGCATGGCTTGTTTGTGTTTATTCAATATGAATATCTTCCAGATATTTCTGGCCTAAGCTACATAGCTCAGTTAACAGGTACTCAGCCTTTTTTCTTAAAAGTTACACCTTGAATATGTATTTGATAATACAATTTACAGAATATTTATAATCAGAACTTATAAAGGGAGTTATAGAAAGATAAAAAATTTTCATTAGAATAGACAAAGATTAGCTCAAACACACCTGTTTAAAAATTGGTCACATGCAGTTTTCTCTTGATGTCCAGGAGATGAAATTTTTCCAGCAGTTACTAATTTTTTTCGGAGAACTAACATCTTTTCACTAAACCAGTAATAAATGTGCAATTATAAGAAACAGTAATCAACATGAAACTGGATGTGCATACACCAATAAAATATGAGAATAAAAAATTCTTACACAAGAATTATTCATTTAAAAAATAATAATATACTTTAAAATAGCTGTTTGCAAAATATGTCCATAAAAAATAAGAATTCAGATACTAAATAAATTTTAAAATATCATAAGAGAAAAACTAATGTTCAGATAATTGCCAAAGCAATATATACCTCTAGTGCCTAACTTCAGTATGTAGTGGAACTAATTCAGAATTGCAGAATCTACCTATATTTCATGCATGTTATTTAAGATGTATTAACCTTATATGAAATTCAGTTGTATTTCTTAAAAATACAATACAAGGCAAATACTAATTATAGATACATTTAATTTATGATTTAGAATTGACCTTTACACAAGAATGATTAACCAAAGCAAAAGAAAATGAGTTCAAAAAATATTTAATTTGGACAATTGTGACTTACTTAATATAACTGAAATAAAAATAAGCCTTTATTCATATATAAATAATCATATATTATATATTTAAAGGACATTATATTTAGGATTTCAGTTTCATATGAAGTAAAAAGAATGTAAATTTTTTCTCAAATGAAAAATAGTTTTCATGCAGCAGCAGCTCATATTAATTACCTACCCACTAAAAAACTGCAATATGAAAATATCAGATTGAAGTTTAACCTCTGAAAGAGTTTACAGCTGAAGTTTTGAGAAATTAAAAAATACAAAAAACATCTAATTATATAAAAAAAAAATCAACTTGATCTTTATAGAGTCATTAGGGTGTTCGATGCTGGAAACATTAAAAATAAGCAATGCCCTCACCAGGATTGGAAGTTTTTGACCTTCTGAATACATGTTGAATGCGCTTCTCATTACATCATGGACGCATGCAAAAGGGTGATAAAAAATACCTTATATACTCCTGCTTTCAAAGGGTGAATGGGGATGAGGGGACCTAGTTGCTAAATCCTGCTGGTGACTAATTATCGTCCACTTGTACAGTCATTAGGGTGTTTGATGCACAAGACATGAAAAATTAGCAATACCCACCCTGGGACTCGAATCCTGGACTTCTCAAAAATGTGTTGAGTATGCTTCGAATTACACCTTGAAGGCATGCAGAAAGGTGCAAAAAAATACATTATATACTTTCCCTTTTAAAGAACAAGTGGGGATTAGGGGACCCAGTCACCAAATCTTGGTGGTGACAAATGATAGTCCACCACCTTTTAATTTAGGTGCCAGTTGTAGAGGCATTAAGTTAATGCTGAAAAGTGAAAAATGTGCAATGCCCTTACCAGGATTCGAACTCCGGACACCTCCTGAATATGAATGTACTTCTAGTTACACCACAAAGGAAAAGGAGGGAAGGAAGGAGAAAATACCTGTATATTCCTGCTTTTAAAGGGTGACTGGAGATGAGGGGACACAGTCGCTAAATCCTGATGCAGAATCTAGCTATATTATATTTTGGATTATAATATAGCCACTATTGTTCACTACCTTTTAGTTCAATCACCACTTGTACAGTCATTAGAGTTTTTGATGCAAGGGACATGACAAACGAGCAAAACCTTTACTAGGATTTGAATTCTGGACCTCCTGAATATGCATTGAGTATGTTTCTAATTACACCACAAAGACATGCGGGAAAGAAAGGAAGAAAATACCTTATATCTTAATAAGCAGACATCAATTTAATACAAGTAACAATTTAAAGCTAAGTATTAGGATAGCCCATAAGTTTAAGAATCAGTCCTCCAGATATCAAAGAAACAGAACAGAAAATTGTGTAATTTAGCCCAAAGTGGCTGGAGTGCCTTTATTCGGTCATGAGATTTCTTTGTCACTTGGTATATAAGAAATATTAAAGGAAAATATTCCAAATTATATTTAATGATTATAATTTAAAATATTTTTTCTTAGTTTCTTTAATAATATACATGTCATCTTAATGAACAGAAATTTAAGGAAACAGAGACTAAAATTATAATTATAAGAATTTAACTAATACAGAAGCTGTACACAGATTTTTTAGACAATTTTACTTTGTTGTAAAAAAATTATTTCTGCTCGGAACTTTTTTTTTGAACTTTTTTTTTGAACTATATTTTTCAAAGTATAAGTTATGAACTGCTACTTGACAATTTTGTTTTGATGCAAGGGCGTTTTTAAAGAAGCAATGGATGGAAGACTATGTTTCTGTTCTTTCCGAAGAAAATTGTTCATATCTAATTATTAAAAAAACTGTGAAAGCCCCAATTTTTCAATATGTAGAGATACGACAGGTAATATTATCAAAAAGAAAGGAAAAAATCCTCAAAGTTGGATTCAAGTGAAAAACCTGTTCCATATACATATCCAAGGGAAACAACAGAATGTTTTGGATGTTGCAAAGGCAAGATCCTTAATGTTAAAATAAAATCCGCCAAGTCCAAAAGACAGTTGCAAAATTATTAAAATGCTCAGTGTCAACTGTACACAAAGTCATTATGGCTGATTTAAATCTTAAAAAGGCAAAAAGACATGATGTCCATTGTCTTTCTCCACAAAACATCGCCATATGCAGAATGCACTGCAGAATTCTTTATGAGAAATGTTGGTGTTGGTGTATTTAATTATGGCAAAGCACACTAGGGCTATCTGCCTAAGGGGAGGGGATGCCTTTCGTGGAGGACTTTCTAAGGGAAACTGGCTCGTATACACGTTACACATGGGGAAAACCACGAAAACGCCCATGCAGCCAGCCCGTTCGCGGGATTCGAACCTCTGACCGAACTACCAGTGTTCAGCGACTTTACCGCTCGGCCGCTGGTGGGCTCCCTTTATGTGAAATGTGCAAAACGTGTCCATTCTTAATGAGAATTCTTTATGAGAAAAATCTTGATAAAAATAGAAAAATGTCGTCACAACAGATGAACCTTGGGTGTATCTAAATGACTGCAATAAACACAGATCCATTTATTATCATCAAAAAGAAGAAAAAAATTTTAAAACATGGTTCAAGGAATCTAAAGAAAGTTTTTCTAAGGGATTTATGATTGTTGCTCACATGGAGGTAGGAAAGGGAGGAGGGGCCAACCCGTGCTAAAAGTGAAGCACTGCTTTGAAGCTTGGGTCACCAGACGGGGTGTTCTTTGTTTACATTCAGAAGCTCGCTTGACAAGATTCTGATAGTATTTCGACACACGACAGTTCCATAGAAATCGAAAAAGGGACACTTTCGCATGAAAGAAACATTCATAGTGTGATGGATAATAGCAATTTGTGTAGTTTAGTGACATTTACGCAAAAATCACATCTTGGTTATTTTTCGATAACTAACAAGAGCGATTTTGATTACGAATTTGTTTTATAAAATTCTAAGCTGTTGCACTACAAAAATATAGATTTTAAGAAAAATGTTATGCTTAAAGAATGAAAAATACCTTACGGTACATTTAAACGAAAAATATAGTGAATGCACAGAAATTAAAGATTTGGCACATGCCGGAAATGAAAAATAGGAAATATGTATGGGTATTTATGCATGTGCTTGCAAAAAAGCATGTATCTGCCCTTTGACAAAATACTTAATATTCATTAAATTATTTATAAATGTATTTGAAATGAAGAATTTATTCACTTATAAACAACTGTGAAAGTACTGTGAAGAAATCTAATTATTAAATGTATCTAATTTATAATGATTATAAATGTTATCTAAATATATAATAAACTTAATATTGAATTGTAAACATAAATTGAAATCCTGTTGACAAATACATTATAAAACTATTTAAGCAAGAATTGTTCGTAATGGAAAGCAATCTGTTAAAAGGTGTTGTAAAGCAAATGCTATGAGATGCACACTTAAGAACGTAATAAAGAGTTTTGGAATATGTATTGTTGAAATGAAGGGTAAAAAAAGATCTGATAAGTATAATTAAAAGAATTATTCCCCTTATACTTTATAATAACTCAGTTACAAGTTTTAAATAATACTTATTTTATTCCCTTTCAGAAATGTTCAGAGAAAGTCTAGTACTATTTAAAGTATTTTGCTAATTCATAATAATTCTCTAATTTAAAATGAACCGAATAGAGCATTAATTATAAACATTTTTCGATTTAAAAGATGCCTCAGAAGCCAAAAAATCATGTCATATTTAAGAAAGTATTTTAGGAAGAAGCTCTATAAATAGAAAAGAAATAATGCATAATTTTAATATTAATAATACAATAAACTTTGATCGTAATTTTTGTACCTTAACCGAATAAAATCGAATTACCTTAATTTTTTTTCTAATGTAGTTAACGAAAACTTGTGAAAACATTTCATTCAAATTAAACCATTCTGAGAAAGCTGTCCTGTGAAAAGTATAGCATTTAATTCCGTTCAGAATGAAATGTTGTTTAAAAATATGTTGTTTTCACATACTTAGGACTCCGAAGTGTTGTAGAAAAAGAATATATATACATTTATATGTATATTTATGACGTAATTACAAAATATTTACATCCGAACGCGTCAAATCCCATAGAACTCAATGGTAAATGACCCAATGTTTTGGTCACCACATAGGGATCGCCGGTGCTTCAGAGCAGGGTACGGAAGAAACTTGTTTAGGGTGACTCCATCTTACTTCCTACCTCCATGGTTGCTCATAACAATGTTTCATATAAGGACAAATCAAAAATAAATAGAGTGGAGAAAAACGTTAAGATGAACTCCACATATTTCATACCCAATCTTCAAATAAGAAATACCTTCTTCGCCCACAGCGTCATCAAGCAGTAGAACTGCATCAAGACAAAGCAAGCAGCCACACATAAAAAAAACCCTGTTAATTTCTAGGGGAAAATAGAACAAGAAACAGGTATGAAGGCCATACCATTCACTTGTATCCCTATTAAATCTCCTGATGTATCAATCTTGAATTTTTGCGTTTTTGGACCTTTAAAAAGCAGGTTATCCA